AGGCTGGAGTGCCATGGTGTGATCATAGCTCACTGCAGCCTGGAACTCCTGGGCTCAAGGGATCCTCTCACCTCAGCTTCTCAAGTGGCTGGGACTACAGGTATGTGCCACAACCCCCAGCTAATTTTTTTTTAGATTCTGTAGAGATGGAGTCTTGCTATGTTGCCCAGTCTGGTCTTGAACTCCTGGCCTCAAGCATTCTCCCGCCTCAGCCTCCCAAAGTGTTGGGATTACAGGTGCAGGACCCCAAGAGCAGATTTTTAAGAGAATCAAAATAACAACCATGTGAGGGTCAGAGTGGGGTGGGAGAACTTATCTGTGCCTGAGCCCTCCTCACCCTGAGCTGGGACTCTCTACCCAGGAAAGCGAGAGAAGGGATGAGTTGAGGACCCTTCCAGATGTCCCCCTCAACTTAGGAAAAGAGGAGAAGGAGAACATCTGGTCCCCAATCCAAAAGTGTGAATGGGACCCAGGAAAGCAGGGCCAGGAATACTCACTTGGGATAATTGGGACTGCATGGGTGTACCCTGTGGAGAGAAAGGAAGAGGGGCTGAGTGAGAGTTGGGGTGAATGTAAAGGAATGTGGGAAGGGAGGATTTCAGGGCTGCTTTCTGGAAAACCAGAAGGGAAGGGGCAGTGGAGACATGCTCAGGGAAGCGGCAACCAGGCAACGAGACTGAAGGTGGCTGGATCCCGTCATTGTCCCCATGATGGTTTTTTTTTAAGGGACAGGGTCTAGCTCTGTCCCCCAGGCTGGAGTGCAGAGGTGTGATCATAGCTCACTACAGCCTCAAACTCATGGGCTCAAACTATCCTCCTGCCTCAGTCTCCTGAGAAGCTGAGACTACAGGTGTGCACCACCACGCCTGGCTAATTTTAAAAATATTTTGTAGGGATGGGGTCTTGCTGTGTTGCTCAGGCTGATCTGAAACTCCTGGCCTCAAGCAATCCTCCCGCCTTGGCCTCCCAAAGCACTGGGATTACAGGCGTGAGCCACTGCGCCCAGCCTCCTTGATGGTTTTGATACATCACAGTGAAGACTGAACCCAGCCCAAAGGTAAAAAGATGGGACAAAGCTTCTTTGAGAGAGTTGGAAACTTTGCTCACAGGTTTGGGAAAACACAAGACTCTGCCTGGGAGAGACCCGTGGCTCTAACGCAGTTCCTCACCGTTGACATAGAGGCTGTCCCTGTCTAGGGTGAAGGGGCCCAGGTGGGAGATGCCCTGAGTCAGCTGGCTGAACTCCCAATACAGCCGCACTCGGTCCAGTTCGGGGCCCCCGGGGTAAGGGTGGAAGATGCAGATGACGTCGACTCCGGTGGCTGCTCCACGCTTTGCAAGCCTGGGGAAGGAAGGACACGGGGACATGGGATGCTGACAACTTCTGGGTGTGGGAAGCAAGAGAGAGGGCCGGAGGAGGCTAAAGGGGGTTGAAGGGGCTCTGCTAAGTGTCTCTCATCCCAGACACACTGGGGACAGAAAACATTTTAGTTAGAATTTGCAGACAGGATGTGTGGGTGTCCCAGTTCTTCTAAGAGGAGAGCCCTCATTTAAACAATATCATCTGGATCTCGTAAACCAAACACATTTCCTCGTGTAAAGCCTTGAGTGTTTGCAGCGCCTGCACATGAAGAAGGCATGAAGGTCTCTCTTGTGGTGGGCACTGGGACCCCTGTGGTGTGAGTGGTCTCTGAGCCCTGGGGCCAGGGCACAAGGGTCCACTCAGTCTGAGGATTGGCTCTCATGTGGGGGTCTCACCTGAGCGAGGCCAGTCTGCTGCCGGCGTAGATGGAGTGCACACTGGTCTTCTCGAACAAGGACGAGAGCTGGCGGGAAGAGAGGGGGAGGTGGCTGAGGAGGGGCGGAGGGGCCGTGTGGGCAGCTGTGAGGTGGGGCTGGTGGCGGTCATCTCACCCAGCTCTGTAGGACACTCTCGATGAGGCTGAACTTTGGGGAGCCTGGCTGCCCCATGTCCTTCGTGTACTCCATGCTGGTGATGGTGAAGTTGAGGGTGAAGGTCACCAGGGCAGGGATGCTGGCTGCCGTGGGGGAGGAAAACACAGATGTCCAGCTTGGGCCATAGCGATAATGACCAAGGCTGTTCTGGGCCTAACCGTGGGGCACGAGCAGGAAATATTCTGGAATTCCCAAGACACTAGGAAAATTTGCTCATTCATTCAGTGAGCATTTATGGAGCGCCTAAGGTGTGCATGGTTCTGTGCTGAGTGCTGTGTGTCTGAAGATGAATAGGGTACAGTCTCCTCATGCTGGGGAAGGGAGGTCACCTTCAGGGGAAGCCTTGAGCGGGGAGTGGCTATGCAAGTGCAGGAGAGCCATTGAACCAATGACGAAGGAAAGCGTCCCAGAGGGAACATTATTTCAGGTGTGGCCAAAAGCATGAGCAAGAGTTAGGTTAAGAGGAGCTAAGTAAGTGTTGGGGCGCATTCAAGGCAGCAGGAACAGCCTGGGCAAAGTCTTGGAAGGAGGACAAAGCATTGTATGCTTAAGGAATTAGATGGTCTTTCATTATGGGGACATACATGGGAGAATGGAGCCCAAACTCCTCAGCTCAAGAGATCCTCCTGCATCAGGCTCCAAAGCAGCTGGGACTATATACTAGCATCACCACATCTGGTGAACTTTAAAAATTTTTTGTAGATGTGGGGTCTTGCTATGTTGCCCAGGTTGGTTTCAAACTCCTGCCCTTAAGTGATCGTTGCACCACTGGGTCACATTTCTATACATCTCCAGCGGCCCCTTCCCATCCAAAGGGTGGGTAACAGGAGTCAGGGATGGCCGTTTGAGGGGCTCCTGTCTCTTAGGGGAAGGGGAAGGGAGGTGGGAGGTCTCAGACACACAGAGAGTTCTGGAATACTCACTAGTGGTGGACGTGCTTGATGCTGGATGGATGTAACCTGCAGAGACAAGGAGGGGAAGGGGGAAGGGAGAGATCTCCCATGAAGAGCCAATTCAGGTTATTGGGGAGTGGGTGGGTGGAAAGATTGTCCATTGGCGGCTGGACCATCACAGCTGAGAGTGAGTGAAAGGAAGACAGCGCCCTCTTCTGGCAGGGATCAGAGTCACCCCCTGACCCCAGGCTTTGCTCAAAATACTCTGATGGGAGGCCCACATGGGAGTGTGAACTAGGTGAAGGAACTGGTTGCAGCAGAGCCCACCCAGTGAGGAAGAGGAGACCCACTGTAGATGTTGGCACAGTCAGTGCAGAAGCCGGGGAGAAAACACCCCAAG